ATCCGTGAGTCGTTTGGTACCGGACCACGAGAGTTGAGGCTCAGGTGTGAAATTTGTGGTTTTTATCTGTTTTTATCGTTAACTCTGTTTCCCTGGGTCTTTTCCCATGTGTTATGAATAAATGTTCTTTTTTGGGGGGCTACCAATACTCGTTTTATTTGTTGTATTTATCCACGACACCTTTAAGACCAGTCCGTGAAAATATTGTCAGACATAAACTAGTCTGTGGCGCAAAAAAGGTTGGGGACCACTGGCTTAGCTCATTACCTGCTATCTTCTCATTAACTGCTATGTTAACTGCAGGCTACCTTGCCTTGTGATGACTGGTTGTTGCTGCTATGACAATTACAGCAGCAAAGAAAACCCGCTAAACACCAGACATTTGACTCATATCTCAATGTTTCTTCACAAAGCGCGCCTGATTGGATGAATCTTCTTTCCCAAAAAATAAATCAATGAAAAAAAAAAAAAACAGTGGTGATAGCCCCACCTCTGAACAAGCTATCATTCAGAGGTGGGGCTAACCTTGCTGGTTACTCACACATGTTGAGTTGGCGGATAAAAGAGGCCATGTTGTTGTGCTTGAAGAACTTTGGCAGAACTTCTTTGGAAAACCGCCCCTGGTCGAACACATGGAAACTGGTACCACTCTTATACAACAAGAGAAAAAGAATCTGTATTATTGTGATGGCTGTGATTCAGGATGCAAAGCAGGTCATCTGTTAATCAGGTTAGTGGTTTAATTCCTCTCTGCTCCATTCCTTGGGCAACATACTGAACCCTGAGGTCCGGGTGCTCTTCGATGCGTTCATTAGTGTGTGACTGTTAGACAGAAAGCGCGCAGGTTGAAAAAAGTGTCGTATGAATGTGTGTGAATGAGACATGGTGTATAAAGCACTTTGAGTACTTCAGTATTAAGGAATGTATAAGAACCACTCCATTTACCTTATAATCAACCGATAAAAACAGAGACTATATACGCTCTTACGCTCTCAGGAATCTCTGGGAACAGATCTGACAGTCAGAGCACACTGCTAACACTTTAATCTCAGCTGTCTGCTCTCCTGCAGACTGTGTCTGACCAGCTCACAATTTATTGATTATTTCAACATTTTTGTTTTTTGTTTTTTTGCACATCAGGCACTGATGAATAGTTTACTGATTGGAACTCTTATTTAAACAGAACACACGGCAGATGACAGTGAACTCTTTATTTGGATCATCTATCCATGGAAGAAAAACAACGATATAAAGAGAAACCATTAATTTTGGGGACTTGTGATCCATATCCTGCCGCGGAAGCTTTATTTAAAGGAGGTGAAGAACAAGAAAATGTTTGTTGTTAAAGCAAAAGTAAGCGCTACATAGCTAGCTTAATTATGACAACCTCAATCAGGATTTTTAATGATCTATAGGCATGAAAAAATATCTTTGAACTTCATTTCTTAAACATGTATTTTTCAAATAGTTTTTTACATGTCCACTTAGGTGGACATTTGGAATGGGTGGCAGGGTATGGGGTGACACATCAGTGTCCAGTGTAGTGGTTTATGTGCAAGTATACCATCAAC